AAAATATATTAGACTAGGAAACTAACAGGTATGTTAGAAAGAATATAAAAGTAAAACTATAGATGAATCAACAACTGGAAGGTATAACAGTATCACAATAGTAAAAAAGAGGTGGAAGGAAAAGAAAAGAAATGGTGGGGGGGACCTAAGCAAGGGTGAGGTTTGGGCCTGGTCAGGGCCTATGCTTCAGACCCACAGGGCTGGAAGAGGCCCTGGGGGCTGTGAGGGGTGGGGCTTAGGCTCAATGGAACAGAAAGGGCCCAGGCTTGCCCCTCACCCCTGGTCTCAGAGGGCAGGGGACTTCACCTGGGAGCCCAGCAGGGTTCCTGGGCTCAACTGCATGGGGCAAATGCCTTCCTCTCCGTTCCTGACCCTCCAGTCCAGAGGGCCCCTCCCGCCTGCCTCTCCTGATCTCTCCGGTCTCCCTCTTATGCCCCCAAGACCCAAATGGCCTGCACAGGACTTTGGAGGGGGCGTACCAGCCTGGGAATTCAGCAGGCTCCCTGGGCCCGAGTGGGCGGGGTGATTGCCCTCCACTCCTCTCCCTCTTCTGGATGGCTCCACGTGCCTGCCCCTCCTGATCTCCCCGGCCTCAGGGATGCTGATCCTGTCTGGCTTCCACTTCTTCTCCCCACCTCAGTCCCCCCACATCCTATTGGTTCACTTGGGGGTTCCTCCCGTCTCCTTGGGTGTCAGGGTACCCCACCAGCAGCCGGCTCGCACCCTAGTTGTGGAGAGACGCTAACTCTGCATCTTCCCACACCGCCGTCTTGACTCTGCCCCATATATATATAATTTTTATTTTATTTTATTTTATGTTTTTGCGGTATGCCGGCCTCTCACTGTTGTGACTTCTCCCGTTGCGGAGCACAGGTTCCGGACGCGCAGGCTCAGCGGCCATGGCTCACGGGCCTAGCCGCTCTGCAGCATGTGAGATCTTCCCGGACTGGGGTACGAACCCGTGTCCCCTGCATCGGCAGGTGGACTCTCAACCACTGCGCCACCAGGGAAGCCCTGCCCCGTATATATTTTAAATGAAAAAAAAAATTAGGTATTTCCTCCCTTGGTTATTATAGTAGAGCTCTAATCAACCAGAAGAAGAAAGAATTTTACAAGTTGTTAACAAAATATATCAGATACTCTCTTCTGGGAATATATATATATATATTTTTTTTTTTAATTAAGATGTACATATATAATATCAACATAGAATTAAGAGTAGTAGTATATTTGCCACGGGCATTATATTCTATTGCCATTGTGAACCTGTGGTGGCCCATGGGTTAAAAAAGATTGAGAAACAATGAACCAGAATTTTGGCACTTTGAGACAGGGCTCTCGCTGGATGTAGCTTGGTGGGCAGCAGTGTGATGCTCTGGAAAGAACGCTGGCCTCTCCAATCAGAACACCAGGATTTGAATCCCACTTTAAAACTTGTTCACTGACCCTTAAACAAGTTAGTTCCCCTATCAGATCTTCTTTCATCATTATTTAAATTGGGATAAAACAATAATGACTTCACATCATTAATATGTGGCGCGTCTGCACACACACACGGACAAAAAAAAAAAAAACAAGAAAACATGTAACACCATGCTGGTACATGGTACACAGTTTTCCGCCATAAAATTCTTCATCTTGCATAGGTGGCATAATGCTCTGTAGATAGTAGGTATGCCAACACTTGCTTACTGAATGAATCAACACATGAATGACTGAGAACCATTGAAAAATTCCTTGTTTTCTGTTACGGTGTTCAACTTAGTGTATCCAGAGAACTGACTGAAAATAACCTTTTTCCTGATCATCTCTAGGTGTATGAGTAAAAAAGCAATGGTAAAACTTCCTCTCTTCCTCAGTTATGTACCTTAAGAATATGTGAACTAAATATACTAGGAGATCTTTTTTTATTTTACTTTAACCATTTAATTTATATTTTAATTCAATTTAATTTTAGATAGGCCCCATGACACATAATCTCTGGTTCTCCAAGTATTCTTAGCTCATCCCTGTTGTAGTAATGTGTACTGAGAGCTCAGCCTTGTCTTGCTTACCAATCTTCTCCCATACAGAGAGAAGCATTTATCATATTTCAGAGAACATTCTGGAAAAATGTTCATAGTTTACAAAAGTAGGTATGTAACTGGTCTTATGATTTAGAAAAAGAGATTAAAACGTAATAAAATATGAAGAAGCCATATCTTAAGAATGGAATTTTGGATGTTAAAACTGTATTCTGAAAATAAATATAGTTTTAAGCAATAACTTATACTAATTTGCTTCAAAGAAAAAATATTGAAAAGAATAAGAGTTATTTAAATTAGCATACCATTTATAAATAGTTTCATAGTTAAAACTAAACACATTCAATTACAGTTTGGATTACACTATTGTTTTACCTAGCAAACCATTCAGGTTGATTCGTACAAAACTAGGAAATAAATTCAACACAATCCATGTTATAGAATCTGAATTAGAGAGGCTCAAATTTATTATAAGTACACTTATAAAGGCTTTATGAAAAGATGCTACTTTGTGAAAATAAGAAGCATAAAATGTTAAAATTATTCTTTTTGTTTTTTGGATTTTTTATTTGGCTGAATCTCACAGTTCTGTGTTTCTAAGGTCTTTTAAGGCATAGTTTTTGGTTGTTTAGTGTTTATTGTTAGTGTTTTGGTGAAGGTGTTCAATGAATTTTTGTGAAATTTAGGAAGTTTAAATGTATGACCTATAATATATTACAAATCAGCAGTTTGAAGCTAAAATCTAGGGAAATCTAGGCATGTTTTTAAAATAAGCTCTAATAGGGCTTCCCTGGTGGCGCAGTGGTTGAGAGTCCGCCTGCCGATGCAGGGGACGCGGGTTCGTGCCCCGTTCCGGGAGGATCCCACATGCCGCGGAGCGACTGGGACCGTGAGCCATGGCCGCTGAGCCTGCGCGTCCGGAGCCTGTGCTCCGCAACGGGAGAGGCCGCAGCAGTGAGAGGCCCGCGTACCACAAAAAAAAAAAAAAAAAAAAAATAAGCTCTAATAATTCAAAAGCTATTTGTGATACATTCTGGGAAGGCAAATTTGTTGGCTTTATTTTTTCCAGGGAGCTAATTTGTACCAGATTGTTAGGATATGACCAGACGTACATTTCTAGTGTCTGCTTTTTTTTTTTAATTGTGTGTTACAAATACTCCAAAACTAGAGTTAAACAAAAAGTTGAGTCAGGAATACTTCTCATTTAAAAAATAATCCTGGAATTTTGGAGTAGAAAGAGACTTTAGAGTTTATTTTTTCCAACTTCCTCCTGCTACTAATGAGAGAATTAGTCCCAGAAGGGTAAACTGACTTGTTTAGAGTCCATAGCTTGAAAAAGAAAAAAAAAAAGGGAAAAGGTTTCTTTTTCTTCTATACTTGGTACAGGAAGTACTCAATAAATAATTCCCAAGAGGGAAGTATGGCATGAGATATGTATTATTGTGAATTTATTAATTAGCATTTTGGTTCTTCTGTAATTGACTAAGGAGACTAGTTAAGGTAAGTTTTTCCCCATGAAATAGAGATTCTGGGAGCATGCAAGTTCTTATCCCAGATCCTGACATTCGCCACAATGATGCCATCCTGGGAACACTCCTGGGCAGAAATTTTCAAGAAGATTTAACGTACACACCTTGGAAAAAAAAGGTTTGGGGAGGGGCATATTTCATTTGAAAATAAAAACAATATTCTGATTTGATTTTGAGCACAATATTCATTTTTTAAAATCCAAGAAACATTAATGACATTTGCATTTCCTTTTTAGAAGTTGAGAGATTTTGAGGCATAAGTCAGCTAATTTTCTCCTTACAGCACCCCTCTGTTGTTTTGGAATCAATCATTCTTTCTTTCAACAATTATTTATTGTACATTTCAGGCATATTCCAGGCATAGTGGTAGCTTATTAAAATATTAAGTTAAAAAGACTTGGTCTCTGTCTGAAAGGGGAAGGGAATTTATTCCTTGAGAGGTTACAGTACACTATTATTGCTCCAAATTTTCCCTTGCCATCTATACTTTCCATTATAAAATTTGACATAGTCGTCATATAGTAGAGAAAATGATACACAGAAATCACAGGAGTGTTTCACTGCATTTATTTATCCATTTATTCAACAAGTATTTATTGAGTACCTCCAGTAGAGACTTTGAGAGTACCTACTGTGTTCCAGACACTGAGCTGTGTGAGTGTGGGGTATACCAGTGAGTAAAACATTCAGTGATCCTGCCTTCATAGGGATTACATTCTAGTGGGTGACACTAACAATGACCAAGAAACATAAAAAATAAACAAATGACAGAACATTTTAGAAAGTGAAAAGCACTGCTTAAAAAAAACAGAAAGGTAGAGTAGGGAGATCACATGTGTGGGAAGGAGAGAAGAAAAGAGGGTGTAATTTTAAATAGTGTGGTCAAGAAAGGTCCCATTGTGAAGGTTACTTTTGAAGAAAGACTTGAAGGTAGTCGAAATAAAAATCCAAGAATTAGGGTAACCATAGGGTTTGAAATTTTACATTTATTTTAAGTCTATTTTGTTATATGTGTACTTCCTGACCAGAGGATGCAGATGATGGTAGACTCAGAACTTTTTTCTTCTCTTTCTTTTCTCTCCTATTAGCTTTGACTTACACAAGGAATGGTATTTCCACTCTATTTTCTCTTTTGTACTTAAGTAAAATAAACGTATTTCATGATTTTTGTCCATCTGTAAGAACAGAGTTTACTTTGAGAATTTCCTCTTGACAGTCCGATGCAGTGTGTAGCATAATTTCATATAATTCATTGTTTCTTATAAACATAAAAATTCATGTATTGCCATTTTTAGAGTGCCTTAGTCATCTCATTTTGGGCAACAAATCAAATTCCTTTCCCTTTGAGTCATTGAATCGTCAGTTCAGATAAGAAAATGGTTTATTTTCTTAATATTCTTGATTGACTTTAACATGATTTTAAAATAAAAGTATTTGTTTCTTACAGATTGTATTTCTGGCATCTGCATATGCAAGTCCCCAACTCACAGAGGAGAGCTGTTCAGCCGTGGCTGCTGTCATACATTACCTGTATCTTTGCCAGTTTAGCTGGATGCTCATCCAGGTTGGTACCTCCTTTCCTCCTTCTGGCCCCTTCAGCTTTCCAATGTGTCTGGATGGAGTGGCCTTTATATCTGATATTCTTTATACTGAAATGGAAGTAATTCCATATATCCATCACTGCATTCCCAGGAGATCAATATAATCTCTCTTATAATCTGTACAACATTAGAAAGTGTAGTGAATTTGAGGAAATGAAAAGAAATCTAGTGGAGTTGGAAATAAGAGAATGGTAGGAGATGAGGCTTGTGATGCAGACCCTATAAGGCACAGTAAGAAATTTTAACTTTTTTTCTATGAGAAGTCATAGAATTATTTTTAAGCAAGAGAGTGACATGATGAGATTTGGATTTTAGAAGAACTCCCTGTTTGTATTGAATTGAGTTCAGCAAAGAGTTGACATGGGAGCCAAGTAAGTAGCTTTAGCTGTATTCAGGGGAAAGAACGTGGTGGTGTGAACCACAGAGGGAGCAGAAGAGACAAAGGGAAGTGAACAGCTTCTAAGAATTGTTTTTTTAAACTAGAACTGTAGGATGTAGAGATTGGTTATAAAGAATGCAGAAGGTGGAACCAAGGATGTTACCCAAGTTTCTGGCATGAATGAATGGGTAGATAGTGGTGCCTTGAACTAAAATAATGATCCCTGAAGACTGGGAGAAGATGATGAGTTTTTTTTAAGGACATGCTGAGTGTGAAGTTCTTGTGAGATCTCCAGTGGAGACTCAGGGAGAAGTGGAATATGCAGAGCTAAATCCCAGAACAGAGGTCCATGCTAGAGAAATACATTAGACAATTACTGACTTAGAGTTGGAAAATGGAGCCAATGCTTTGGAAGAGATCACTTTGGGAGAGAGTACAGAGTGAAACCCAAAGAGATCTAGCATACTCTCCTGAGGAACTAGTAAGGGCTGGGGAGAGATTTGAACTCTCCTTTTCTGACTAAAGTCCCAAATTCTCTCTATTGTCTAATGCTGATTTGCTTGATAAAGAGGCTAATGTGAGAGTTGGATCCACTTAAGCACTATTAATGTCACTAATTCAATAGCTCAGCTAAGATGCTGCCTTTGAAAGTGATTTCTACATGGTGGTATTGTTCCATCTTTCATGTGATAGAAATAGTTTCATATGTGTTTCTGAGTACACAGGTGAAGCATACTATGTAAACAGATGCATTCAGGCCCTTGCATATTCTTTTTTCTTGTTGAATAAGAAGGATGTGGGATTTCTACCATCTGGCAATATTGGAGGAAGGTGAGGTGATACTATTAGTAGAGAATACCATACAGATTCAAGGAAGGGATCTTTTCCCAAGTATCATATTATAGTTGTCTCTGAAGGAGAAGAAAACTGAACTGTTTAGTTAATAGAACTACTTGGAACAATTGGAGCCCTGCATCTGGGTTTGAATTCTGGCTCTGTTATTATCTTTGTAACCTTAATCAAGTTATTGACTCTCTCCAAGGTTTGTTTCTAAATCTGCATATGGAGATAATAATTCCTACCTCATAGAATCATTGTTTTATAGCTCTTTGAGCAGCTCTAATTATGGAAAATTTATGGTGTTCTCCAGTCCCCCACCAAACAATTAAAAAATAAATCTAAACCATAAACATAAAATAAATACTTGCTGAAATTACAATAGCATTTGCAACATTCTCTGACTCTCTTTAGTAGTTTATCTAAGTTGAACTTTTTATGTGTGCCCTGTGTATGTTGTCATTTATCTTCCTGAACTGAGGTCCATAGCTGAAGGTCTTGTCCATGTCCCTGACCTGTTCAGTTCTTGATGAATGACCTGGATGAAAACACAGGAAGCTGTCTTATCAGGTATGCAATGATACAGAGCTGAAGCAAGCTAAAACAGCAAGCTGCCTGTGTTAAGAGTACAGGTAGAACAAATATAGAAAACCTGTACTGTGACAGCTTGAAAATGAGAGTGCAAGAGACATAATCTGATGGGGGTTAATGTAAACAACTTGAAATTTTAATTTAACCCAAACTCAGTAGCAATCAAATGTATGACCAGATTGCTTAAACCATAGCAACGACAGTAACTACAAAAACAACACAGACCTGGGTTACATTAATAACAGTATGGAGGCAGCTGGGGGAGCCATGTTTAAATTATATCTACAATA